GGGGCGGGGTAGCCGGCCGCCCGAACCACCCGCTGGCCGAGCCGGCACCGGGGGGGACATTCCTCAGGCTCGAGGCCGGTTGGCCGGGGGCGACAAGGGAAGGGGCGGGACATACCCCGATTGGCCGGCGCCGGAAGGTCGCCAGGGGCGGGCGACACACGGCAGGCGAGAGCGCACAAAGGCGGGGGTACCCGGCCGGGGGGGGGGGCGGGCAGGGCGCGGGGGGCAGGGCGCGGTCGGCTCCGCCCCCGCCCCGCACCCCCCGAGGGGGCTCTGTGTGGGAACGCGGCCGAGTGCGCGGCGGGCGGGGAAAACCCACGACGGAGCGCGCCCGCTGGCCAGCCCGGGGCCGGGGCAAACACGCCGGCGGCGCTCGCTCGGCTGTTCGGCCGGGCGAGGAGAGTGCACGCCACTGCTGCGGGCCCGGGGGCCGGGGCGAAAGTTAAAGGCGTTCTCGGCGGCTGGCGCGCGGGTCGGCATGCGGCCGGGCGAAGGCCCGCCTGCTCTCGCCGGTCGCCCTCCGGGGGCGGGCTCGCCCACGGATGCGAGGCCGGAGACCGCCCCTGACGAGGGGCGGCCAGCACGTCCTGAGCCCACGTTCGAGGTGAGCTTCGCCGGAGGATGGCGCATGCCCGCCCGGTGCCGCGGGCCCTGGGATTTGAGGCAGCCGTTAATTCAGCCCTGACCATCCACCGGCGGCGATACACACACACACACACATACACATACACATACACTCAGTATATGTGAATATTAAATGTCGTGTCACTCCTCGCTGGGGCTCATGCGGTGGCCACTGCCCGGGGCCGGTCCGGGGGAGTGGCCACCCCACGCCCATGTCACCCCCGCGTCCTCACGAGAGATGCCTCCTCGCTGGTGGCCCGGCATGTGCAGGAGGAGCCCGCTCTCGGCGGTGGTGGGGTTTTGCTTCGCCGGCCGGCATTCCCGGCTGTCGATGGTGATCTCTGGCTTTTGGCCTCCCGGCGCCGCCGCTACACAGGCAGCCAGGAGCCGTGGCACTCTCTCTCTCCCTCTCAGTAATGCGGCCACACATATGCGCTGGCGCATCGGCCGCGCTGGCCATGTCTTCCGGTGTGTGCCGGGCGGCTACTCTGATCCACCCCCGCGCCTTGGTCACTCCGGGAGAAGGGAGGGACGCGGGGGGGGGGGGGAGGGGCGAACCTCCGCCCTCCCCCCCCCCCCGCATGCCACCGGAGGCGTGCACCTCCCCGGTCCTGTGTGTGGGGGGAGGGACACTCTTGTGGTATGCCTTCGAACGCCTGGACTCTCGGCAGCCTCCCCCGGGCGCAAGTCATGGGCGTGCCGCGCGCCCTTGGGTCAGGGAAGGGGCTGGGGTGGGACTCGCCGCCGCACCCCCGGGGTCGGGGGAGGGCGCAGGAACCGCGCCCCACTGGCTGAGGGTGGCCCGGTGACACGAAACGCTCGCCCGGCTGGGGCTCCCTCCGGGAGAAGCGGG